TCTTTACTCAACTATTCCTCTTATCTTGCTTCATTAAATGGCATCTGGACACCAGAGGCTGGCTTTATTACAAAACAGGCCTTATACACAAGTATGGAAGTCTACGATGCAGAATAACGTACAAAGTAATGTTTGATTGGAATATCATAATTTGCCACTAGATCTCTGTAGTTGGTGTGAAAGGTGGTGGTGATCTGGGATTGCGTGCAAAATAATGATCAGTGTCATGTCGATGCAACAACTCCTCATTCTCTCTTGGAGGTGCTGGAGCTGTGGTGTGGGGACGCAAGTATCGTTTTCTGGACCGGTGCTTCACAGGACTTTTGGGCGTACTGACAGCCGAGTCTACACTCATGGCTCTGGTGTTTTTTAGGTGAATTCCCGCTCTTGGGTAGCCTCGAATGTGTCCATCCAACGCCTCCAGTAGACGCTCCTGCCCTCGACTGAATTGAGCAAAGTGAGCATCATTGGCCTCGTGGTAGATGTTTCGATGGACTGAAAAGACATCAGAGTCCTCGCCCTGATACATACTGGCCACATTGACACGACGTCGAACCTGATATGGCATATTCAACTTCACTGATGGACCAAACATTCTACTCTCCGCCATATCATCCAACACTTCATATGGACTTGATAAAAAACGTCGAAGTAGGGGACGTGGCTTGGTACGGGGTTTTGCAATTGCATCTCCTGAACTTTGTATAGCTTCCTCCTTTTCATCCACTTCACCCAACTTCTTTCGATCCTCAATTGCCTCTGTGTGTATTGCCAATGCAAACTTTTCATAGACATTGACAATCTTCTGATCATGCTTTATAGCATTCTTCTGCAAGAAGGGTCGAATGTACAAGTCATCGAGGCGGTAGAGAGCCTTACGAAAGTGATACGATCCTTGCTCGCCAACCAGTGTTTCAATGTAGAGGAGGGCTTGATTCATTACAGAATTATTCAATGTAGTCAACAACTTATAGCCTTTGTCATTAGCCAATCGAATGTTGAGAAGACGCACCAAAGGCTTCATTGTTATTCCCATGAAGGCTACGGTGAAGAGGATTATCACCAAAGTGGCTGTGATGAGAACGTTTCTTGCCCTCTCACCGTGGGGACCCAAGAAGTGAGGATTTATTAGAATGGCCAAGGAGAATGCTACTGCTCCACGCAGACCTCCATAGCTTATTATTATCTGTTCCGACCAGTGAATTTGAGAGTGTCTTGGCTTATTATGATTCACAATTGCGGAGAGTATGAAGGTGATCAGAGTCCTGGCAAATAGACACAGTATAGTAGCAGTGATGATAAATCCTGTGTGCCAAGTTAATTGTGTTGCCATTACTTCTAGGCCCAGTAAAAGGAAGATGACAGCCTCGCAAATGGAAGAGATCTGTTCGACAGCGTTTCTTAGCAATATTACTTCTAAGGGAGACGCATTACGGAAAGCGTAGGCAGCTTGAAAGACACCGCAGACTATCATAGAGATTATACCTGACCATCCAAAAAGGTCTCCAACCATGTATGCGATGTAGCTCATAAGAATTAGAGGAAGGGCTCCAGCTAAGGCAGAGAGTTTAGTAACGAGGCATGACAATATGCCAAAGACCAGACCAACCAGAGCACCACCCAGAGATACTGTGAAGAAGGAGCCGACGCCAATAACAATGTCTTTAACAAATATCCTTTCCGCAGCAACAAAAGCACTCATAATGTTGTAGAGGACAACTGTAACGGCGTCATTAAGTAGTGACTCACCAAAGACCATGTAGTAGAGACCTGCATCAACACCGATGTCCTGAAAAATCGCTAACACAGCAACCGGATCAACTGCAACAATGAGAGATGCAAAAAGAAGGTGTCCTTTGATAGACAAACCGATTAGCGGTTCACCCATTCCAATCAGTGCATCAATACAAAACGTTCCAAAACCAATGAGAACAAAATTCAGCACCGTGCCCAACACTGCGAATAGCATGATTGGTGCAAAAAAGTCAGCAAATGTACGATTGAAGAGACTATAGGCGGATTCCAGGACAATGGGTGGTAGAAGAATGTTAAAAAAAAGAGTTGGTGTCAGTCTTATGCCTTTTAGTCTGGGTCCCACTTTGGGAACGTACCAGACTATTGCTCCAAAGATGAGTCCAATTACTATGAGAATTAGTGACTCCGGTACATAGGAATTGATACACTTGAGCTTGTGATAGACATATTTCATGAGCAAAACAAGGAGGACGAAAAGACCCAAGCAGAGGAAAGTGGACACCTCGTCAAAATTCCATGAAGCCAAGGCAACTTTTGGTACCTCGATGTTCTCCTCAGAGCTATTCATTGCGGTGTTTTGTAAAGATTTTGCTACAACAAAAGAAGTAATCCGGTGTCTGACTTGCAACCAATACGAAGAGAGTATTATCAGGGCATTTGCCAATCAACTGATGACAACCAAGGTCATTCGAGAATCAATGGTGAAGGGCTTGTTAATGTGATTGGCTGGGGAATTTTCGCGCGTGAAATATGCGCTACATTTGTGTCTATCGAAGCAATATACCAGTGTCAAAAATATTTTCAGACATCTTAGGTTCACTTAAGAATGGGATTGAAATGCCTGAAACCATCAGCCAAAGTGTTCCACTTTCATGCGCATTTAAGCTACGATATTCGACTATGCTAACCAGACTCCTAGATTCGCTGTTAAGATAAGTTTCTGATGTTTAAAGAGATATCCATACAGAAAGCGCTTGGTTCATCACCAATGCTCACCAAAGGACGCCGAGGTAGTAAATTTGTGGCTTATGGTCAATCACATTATTTAGTTGGACTTACTAACAGGCTAATTAGGAAACTTACAACGACTAGACGTTGACATTCCTTCACTTTTCATCCATTTTTCATGCCTTTGGGTCCATGTTATGCAAAAATGTGGCGATTTTAGATCGGCTGGTCGATGCCGCGGACGAGATGGAGGCGGCATCACTCTGTCATGCTAACTAATGCACAGATCTTTTTTGGGCCTAATCACGCCCGAAACATGAGGGCTGCCCATGGATAATTTTTTCTACAAGCTACAACATACACATAAAGATGGCACAGTCACGGATTTAGGTACAAAAATTGGCAGTGTTCTTCTGTGTGCGGAAAAGGACGATGAGTGATTAATGGATGGTTTGAAATTGACCCAGCAGGGTGATGGACCAATCATTACTAGGTGCAATATAGGAAGGGAACAAACCAATACTGCATGGAATGTGGCACCGACTGGTTGAGCGGCTTCTACCACCTTCGCTCACCGGACGGATTTTTAAAAATGCAGATAAGCTGTAGCAGCATTTGCATGAAGTACTTATGGCTGCCCTTCCGACATGGTCATCAACATTTGTTTTAATCAGCAGTGATCCAAGCAAAGCTAATCTTCACAAACTAAAGTATTTTAATTTGAGAATTTAATAAGAAAATTAAATGGTTGGGTTTCCATGCCTTAAAGTCCATCTTAAAAAAGAGGAATGCACTAGAATTCGCCAAGAAGTGAAATGATTATGCCTCATATTGAGAGTATATATATATTGCAGGTTTTTAACACCTAAAAGTCAGTCATGCGAACCAACTTCACTTTGAATCTCTCCAACTTTTAAGACGAATTGACGGCGGCAGTAGTAACGATCCCCCCAAACAACAAGTTGACTTGCTGTTTACATGGCGCTAATCATTCCGGAAAAAGCTTGCCGTACTTTGGGGCCAATCTAAAGAAGTTGTTTCAAGGTCATCATTGCTAAAGACAAATTATATGAAATAAGTAGGTGAATTAGTAGCATAGTAACAAACAGATGAACTATTTTACCAATGATTGAACTAAT